CAGAGCTGAGATTAAAAATCAGGATTTCCTGACCCCCAATTCCTTCCTATAGAGACTATTTGCTTGTTTTAGTAGTAATAGAGTAAAGGCTCCTAACTAGTGGGACTTTTGGGGACATTATGTTGTGAGAGATCTTTCTTACAGTGTGCAATAAGCTCTCAAATACCACACAGTGATTTCAAATATTTAAAGTCATTGATCACTGTTAGTTTGCTCCTAAATTTATTAGCTTCTTTATATTTGAACAATGACAGGTCTTTTCTTTTACTTTTAGTTTAGCTACAGATCTATGTTTCAGTTGTGACTGATTAGAACAAACAAACAGGAATTTGATGTCCTCTTTCCTTAAATATTTGTCTCAATTTCAAATTGAGGAGACTGGGAGGAAATGACTGATTTTGTTTACTGTATTTTTTGAGGTGCAAAACTTATTGTAAAACTAAATTAAGCTATTGCTAGCTTTGACACTGAGTAGCTTCAGGCTTCCCATAGGGTGAAATCAGATGGCTAGAATCTTTTTGAGGAATTTCCCCCAATTTCTTAAGAGCATTATTGAGGCACCGCGTTTTATGTGTTAAACATTAGAACCATTAAAAATGCCATATCAGTAACTGTACTGTGAAAATGCAAATGCAACTGGACTTGATCTTCCCTTTCTCCGGGTCTGTGATTGGCTGGATATTGTCAGTGTCTATGCTGGGTGTTCAGGGCTAAAATTCCATCTTTGTTATTGCACAGTGTTTTGCCAGCTACCTGGGGCAGCAAGTTCTAGTGGTGACTGAAGGGATGCTGGGAAGGTTGATGGCTCAGATTTAACAATATAATAGGAATATGTCTAATGCCCAATTAGTCTTGGAAAATTTATCTACTGCTCTAAAATAAGCTTTGCAGCATCCTCTGCCTGGCAATCCTATGATAACAAGCACAATTGCACGTATGTGACATTCTTCTACTCTGGAGGAAGTGCCTGGGGGAGAAACTTTGGGAGAAGGAGGTCAGAGAGGTGCCAGTGAAAATATTTAAAAAAAAAAAAAAGCTTTCAAAATTCTTTCGGGTGACTTCTACTATGTTGACTATTCAAACACTTTTAGTATTTTGATCCACAGTTTTGTTTCTGACGGTTGTGAGGTCATCTGAGTAAAAAGTTCTGAATTGTGTGTCATGATCAACTCTCTGCACAGCCAAGGAACTACCCAATAACAACCTAAACTTTCATAGAGACTATTTTAATAGTCTCTATTAAGGGATCTAGCTGTTTCTAATAGCAAGGAACAGTTATGAGACCATTCCCCCCCCCCTTTTTAATAAGCTATCTCCTGTATATGCACTGAAAATAAACAAACTCTTTACTTTTGCATAACACTTTTGGAAAGTTTCCGGTTCAGTCATAGCAATTTTTATTTACACAAACATTTCTGATTCATGCTTTGAAATACCCTCTTACTGGTTTTATTTACAATATGCACTGGCAGGCCTGCAAGCTGACAAAACATCTTTCAAACTGAACAAAAACAGATTTTGGATTGATCATATAGTCACAATATCATAATTAATTTGATCTATAGCTTTAATGGAAATTTTAATAGGTAGAAAACTATAAATGTGCCCATTATGCAGGTAAAACCCTTTTTGGACAACCCAAGCTAAGGAATGTCCAGTGTTTTACCTTGGATGGCTGGTCTTGAAGATAAATCTAGAGTGCTTCAGGAAGTGTTGCTGGTGGTCTCCCAAAAGGTTTCACTCTTCCCTGTAAACCATCAGCTAATGATACAGCATTTTGAGGTCATCAGCTATTCCAGGGCACTGTTCCTGAGCGTGGGTGTAGGGCAGAGGAAAAGAGTTCTAAGAGGGCATCTGGTTGGTGACCACTCCATCTTCCATAAAGTCAGTGGAAGTTTTTCTGTTAACTTCGATGATTATTGGATCAGGCCCCAGGTGCACAACCTTTCTTCAGAAGGAGTCAAAGGATAACTTAAACACCCACAATTCCTTCAGACAGAGAACTGCAGTATGATGAGCAGCCCCAGTGAGTTACATGGAGGTTGTATTGGCATTTTGATCCAAAGCCATTGGGCGGTGTGTGGCGGGGGGAACTCCCACCCATCTTATGAATAAGGATATGATGGAAAGTTATTTCCCAAGTGAATACTGAGGCATTTATCGCCGTTATCAACATGCAGAGATACAAAAGTTAAACTTTATTAAAATTCAGTTATCCTAACATCTTTTCATCTGAAAGTATTTGTGCCGCTTCTTTCACGCTGTTAGAAGAAAATTGTTCTTTGAAAGTTGACACTATACTCTGGAAAAAAACATGAGTTGGTTTTTACATAGGATGGAAATCAAGTACAGCTTTAATTACTAGGAGACTAATAGTCTCTCCGTAATAGTAGCTAGCATGTTAAGAACATAAGAATGGCCATACTGGATCAGACCAAAGGTCCATCCAGCCCAGCATCCTGTCTGCTGACAGTGGTCACTGCCAGGTCCCCCAGAGGAAGTGAATCTAACAGGTAATGATCAAGTGATCTCTCTCCTGCCATCCATCTCCAGCCTTTGACAAACAGGCTAGGGACACCATTCCTTACCTATCCTGGCTAATAGCCATTAATGGACTTAACCTCCATGAATTTATCTAGTTCTCTTTTAAACGCTGTTATCGTGCTAGCCTTCACAACCTCCTCAGGCAAGGAGTTCCACAGATTGTGTGCTGTGTGAAGAAGAACTTCTTTTTATTTGTTTTAAACCTGCTGCCCATTAATTTCATTTGGTGGTCCCTAGTTCTTCTATTATGGGAACAAGTAAATAACTTCTCCTTATTCACTTTTTCCACAGCACTCATGATTTTATATACCTCTATCATATCCCCCCTAGTCTCCTCTTTTCCAAGCTGAAGAGTCCTAGCCTCTTTAGTCTCTCCTCATATGGGACCCATTCCAAATCCCTAATCATTTTAGTTGCCCTTCTCTGACCCTGTTCTAGTGCCAGTATATCTTTTTTGAGATGAGACCACATCTGTATGCAGTATTCAAGATGTGGGTGTACCATGGATTTATATAAGGGCAATAAAATATTCTCTGTCTTAGGCTAGGTCCACACTACCCACCTGATTCGGCGGGTAGAGGTCGATCTTCTGGGATCGATTTATCGCGTCTCATCTGGACAAGAGAAATCGATCCCAGAAGCGCTCCCCCGTCGACTGCGGAACTCCTGCTCGCCGAGAGGAGGAAGCGCTGTCGACGGGGGAGCTTGCCTGCGCCGCGTGGACCCGCAGTAAGTAAACTTAATTCCATCTAGGAAACGTCGACTTCAGCTACGCTATTCTCGTAGCTGAAGTTGCGTTTCCTAGATCGATCCCCCGCCCCAGTGTGGACCAAGCCTTATTCTCTATCCCTTTTTTAATGATTCCTAACATCCTGTTCGCTTTTTTGACTGCGGCTGCACACTGCGTGGACGTCTTCAGAGAACTATCCATGATGACTCCAAGATCTTTCCTGATTAGTTGTAGCTAAATTATCCCCCATAATATTGTATGTATATTTGGGGTTATTTTTTCTAATGTGCATTACTTTACATTTATCCACATTAAATTTCATTTGCTATTTTGTTGCCCAATCACTTAGTTTTGTGAGATCTTTTTGAAGTTCTTCACAGTCTGCTTTTGTCTTAACTATCTTGAGCAGTTTAGTATCGTCTGCAAACTTTGCCACCTCACTGTTTACCCTTTCTCCAGATCATTTATGAATAAGTTGAATAGGATTGGTCCTAGGACTGACCCTTGGGGAACACCACTAGTTACCCCTCTCCATTCTGAAAATTTACCATTTATTCCTGCCCTTTGTTCCCTTTTAACCAGTTCTCAATCCATGAAAGGATCTTCCCTCTTACTACCCTTAGGACATTTTTAAATCTAGTACAGTTTTACATGAGGTGGGGTAGTATTTTAAATAGACCTTATTAATTAGTTTACCATCTGGCCTACTTTAAAATCTAGCAAAATATGATGTGATTTTTAATACTTTTGTATAAATATTGATTAATAAATAGACACTGTATCACTAGGGCCTATATTTAGTGATTTGTTAACACAGAACAATTATCAGCCAGCAAAGGGAGGGCAAGCTAACGCAAACTGTATTGGTAATTCTGGTGCAAAAGCCAGTGACTGATGAGGCACTATAACTTCATCTCTTTCTGCAAACACAGGAGGAAATAGTTGGTGAAATAACAAAGGATAAAGTGGGTATGAGAAACTTACTTTAAAAATTCCTAGCAGTATCTTACACTATGGAGAGTAAAAATGCCTAGTGTTTTTTGTAGTGGAAGCATTTGGCCTGGTCTACCTTACAAATTGGAGTTGGCATAGTTACAGAACTTGTGGTGTTAAAAAATCCACACCCCTGAGCACTATCCTGCCCTAATTCTTGCTGTAGGAGCAGCTAAGCTGACAGAAGAATGCTTCTGTTGGCCTAGCTACCGTCACTTAGGGAGGTGGAGTTCCTACAGTGATGGAAAAACATCTTCCGTTGCTGTAGTCTTATGTTTATACTACCAGGTTACAATGGCATAGCTACCTGGCCGTACCTATACTGCTGTAGTGCAAACATGGCCTAATCCTGGTCTATACCGAAAATTTAGGTCGACCTAGCTATGTTGTTCTGGGGCTTGAAAAATTCACACCCTCAAGAGATGTAGTTAGGCCAAACTAAGCCCCAGTTTAAATGCCATTGGGTTGATGGAAGAATCCTTCTATTGATCTAGCTTAGCTACCACTTCTCAGGGGGGTGGATTAACTACAGCAATGGAAACCCCCCTTCTGTTGCTAGAGCAATTGTTTACACTATGGTGCTACAGCAGCACAGCTGCAGCTTCATAGCTGTGCCACTGAGGCATCTGTAGTGTAGACATAGCCTAAGTCTTTTATTTAAGAAGCTGACCAAGCAGCAGGTATTTCTAAGGTTGCGTTGATTACCATTCTGTTTTCATATCACCTTTTCCAGAGAATAGAATAAGCCCTTCTGCGAAGTGTTACTCAACCACTGAGGTGGGGCAGAACTGCATGCCACCATTATATGCTGTGAACATCTGAGTAAGAATGGATGAGACATAAAACAGAGGTACTTATGACTTGTGTTCACTTGATTCATTGCCTTTCCTGTAAGTAAGAGTAAATGGTTTTAACCCCAGTGTCCTGCCCAAATAAGACTAATAGCATTCTGCTGACCTAAATTTCTCCTGTAGCTTTGACCAGTTCTGTTCCCGCCCCCACCCCCCTGGCTTTCCTATTCTAAATTGCTGTGGAGTGTTGGTATGTTCTAACTGTTTATGCCATTGGTGCAATCCGCTGAAGAAATGGCTGCAATTTAGTCCTTGTCATAACTATAAAGGGAAGGGTAACAGCTGTCCTGTGTACAGTACTATAAAAATCCCTCCTGGCCAGAGACTCCAAAATCCTTTTCCCTGTAAAGGGTTAAGAAGCTCAGGTACCTGGCTGGCATCTGAACCAAAGGACCAATAAGGGGACAAGATACTTTCAAATCTTGGGGGGGGGAAGGCTTTTGTTTGTGCTCTTTGTTTGGGAGTTCGTTCGCTCTTGGGACCGAGAGGGACCAGACATCAATCCAGGTTCTCCCCATCTTTCTAAACAAGTCTCTCCTATTTCAAACTTGTAAGTAAATAGCCAGGCAAGGCGT